TAAACTATATTAAAATAAATTTTTAGCCATAAAGTTCTGGGAATTATAAAATCATCATTAAACTTATTAAATTATTATAGTATAACATTAAACTTCATTAAATTAGTACAAAATGATCATTAAAATTTATCAAATTGTTACAAATGATCCTTAAATTTATCGAAATTTATTACTATTTTGGATAAGTTATATATATTTAGTATTTAAACTATTAGTTTTGGTCTATTTTAGTATCTAAACTTTTAATTTTTTTCAAAACCATACCTAACATTTAGTTTGTGTTTCATATTAGTACCCTTTTGTTAAAAACTTAACGCATTTAGTACCTAAACTTTCCATTTTTTTCAAAACTTAATGTTAAATTTTGAACGAGTACTAAAATGAAACAAAAATTAAACTTTAGGTATAGTTTTGAAAAAATTAAAAGTTTAGGTACTAAAACGGATCAAAATTGATCAAGACCATGATATCGATTTTGATCTATCGAGAGAGATGTTTACCGCAAACTTCTGGTTGTTGTTCATCGCCATGATATGTGGTATGGGTTTGGGTATGGCGACAATTAACAATATTATTCAAATCGGTGAATCTCTCGGTTACTCGACCGCCAAGAGATCTTCCTTAGTCGCTCTATGGAGCATATGGAACTTCCTCGGACGGTTTGGGGCGGGGTTTTTATCGGACATTATGTCAGACAAAGGTTGGGCGAGGCCATTGTTCATGGTCATTACACTAGCAGCATTGATGTTCGGTCACTTGATTGTTGCTTCCGGTTTCCCTGGTAACTTGTACATAGGCTCAATCGTGGTCGGTATTTGTTATGGTTCGCAGTGGTCGTTGATGCCGACTATCACAGCCGAGGTCTTTGGGATTCGACACATGGGGACGATATTTAACGCCATTGCATTGCCAGTCCCACCGGATCTTACATTTTCTCCGTGAGGATCAACGGGTATATCTACGACAAGGTGGCAACCAGCGACGATAAATCTTGCCGTGGAACTCGGTGCTTCATGCTTTCGTTTCTCATCATGGCATCGGTTGCTTTCCCCGGATCCCTAGTTGCGATCGCGTTGTTCATCAGGACACGAAAGTTTTATGGGCGGATTCTGCTTCAAAGATTAGGTCACCCTTCATGATCTCGGGATGAATTTCAATATTACACGTGCTTTCTTTCATGTACAAGTTAATAATTTGATTTTTTTAGTTATATATATATAAAAAATAAATTAATTTAATTATCGTTACACCATACAAATATAATTATTCATGCATATAATAACTAAACGTAAAATAATGTCATGTTGACAATTAAATTTATTTATTATAAAAATCAAAATAAACCTAATTGGAATAATGATAAAATATGCATTAAATCACCATGTATTTGGTATAATGACAAGACATTGTATTTCTAAAGAGAGACTAAGTTCCAACTGTGATCGAAGGGATGATTCTAAGGTTGAAATATGGATAGTAAAACATACATGAAAGATAAAAAAAAAGTTATAAAATGATTACCCGATTATAGGATGTTGTTTTTTTCGAGTCCCCTGACTATTAAAAGTTACAAAATGATCACCTGACTATTCATTGTGTTCTAAGCTCATCCTTTACTATTAAAAAATTGATGGTAATTTGAGTTTAACGTTAACATTGTAACACCCCCAACCCGTATCCGACCCGGATACGAGTCCGAAGTGTCACATTGACTTTTCAAACATTTATTCGTATAAAATAGTGAGTAATTTAAAAACTTTTATAACATTTAACTTATTCAAAACGTTTATAAAATATATCAGAGTTCATACAATTTATATCTTTAGACTACATGCCAACTACACTCTATATACATACATATATTTTCTGATCTGACATTTGGTAAGGAGAACTGACCTGTCTTGCTCCGCATTACTCTTTACTCTTCTCGAAACCTACGTGTGAAACAATCACACGCTAAGTCGTTGACTTAGTGAGGCATATAAAACATATAATATTTCATATAACATAAAGCATACATAAACATATACCATCATTATCATAATCTCTATCATTATCATTAAGAAACACACAAAACATCATATGGTTCATGTAACACATTTCAAACCATTTACCTTTGATAACCATTTATAAACCCATCGTATACATATCACATTCAGTATGTTTGTTTAATCTCTTTATTAGCCCATGTACACTAGTGAGAACCTAAGGTATGTGAGTACATTGAGGTTGTGCACACATATGCTGTTACCACAGCTCGATCAATGTCCCGAAGGACCTATCCAGAGGTCACAAGGAACCACGGTAACTATCCAGAGGTCATAAAGATCCTCGGCAACTGTCCATAGGTTCCGAAGAACCTAGGTAAACTGTCCATATGTTCCTTAGAACATAGGTATACTGTCCATATGTCTCGAAAGACATAGGTAATTCTGTCCATATGTTCCGTAGAACATAGGTATACCCTCAACTCTTGGCATGCCAACTATACCACTAGCTCTCTTATCATATACCATGGGCATTATCATTTATAACAATCAATTTACTTATTCATATCCTTTCTCTTATGAACATATATCTTTTCGTTTCAGTCGCGTACCAAATGTACGTGTAATCATTGATCTTATAATCACATGTTCATTCTCTTCTGTCACATACCATATGTGTGTGTAAACATATATCTCATAAACATGTATTTATGAATCTCATATCATATCACATATTCACATAAACATATAATTCACATATTACATGTACATTTTCTCATATATCTCATATCATATAATTTATGCTCTGTCCTCTTATGTTCACATGACATAATGCATACCAATCCTATTCACACATGTTTTTACTCATGAATTCATACATGATAAAAATCATGTCATTCACATATTTAAATTTATTTCTTCATGTACTACAATTATAGGAAATATCACTTCTCTGGTGTTCATATGACATGTAAATCATTGTCATATCTTGTTCTCATATGTTTCCCATACATCACATATATCACATATTCATATAGGCTCACGATTTTTATCACCTATCATGTCATTTCACATATACACTTTTATTACATTAAAAGATGGACATGTAGTCTTATGTGACCTATCAATACTATCTGTTCATATAATCTCCTTTTACCTTATAAGTAAATACTACTTATTTTATCCCACCTTTCTATTTATTCTCCAAATTATTTATATCAATTCACATGGTTTATTACACAACTTATATCACCTTTTTAGGTATTACAGATATCTTGTCGCATATCTTATATCTTGTCATCATATCATTACATACAAAAACATGTCAACACATATAATCAAGCATACATACATTTCATGTCATTCACATACTTATGATCAAGACTTCATGCACTATAACTATAGGAAATAGACTTATCACAAGTCCAATTTCCATATAATTCTATAAAATAAGATGCACTCACCTTAGCCTTGCTTTGATTCGATTATAATCCTTTGATTATTCCGGAACTTGTTTAGGCTCAATATCTACATAATATATCATTTCAAAACAACTATCAGAAGCCTAAACTTTAAACTTTATGTTAATAACTTAAACCGGTTTTATGAATCAAATTCTATATTTTCATTTAGGGGGGAATCGATACCCCCTGAACATACTGGAATTTTTCGTTCAAGAGGGGGAATCGATTCCCATTCATAGGGTATCGGTTCCCTCTACCCAGAAATTATATTTTAAGCTCGAAAATCATCAATTTTTCATTCAATTCTTCTATTTTAAACCCCTACCATGTCATTAAACTCAACTACCATTACTTAAACTAACTTATATCCATGAAAATCATCTATAACTTCAAAATCCTATCCTTCATATGAAATTCAAGAATCATACTTAATTTTCCATATGTTCTAAATACAATTCTAACACTTCTATCTTCTTATTCTCATAGATGACAAGTCAAATTCAACTTAAAATTCAACTTATCAACTCTATTCCATGATTCCATATAAAAACTCGTTTTCTTAAATCTCTTATAACTTCTTCATCTTTTGATTTTAAGATAACTTAAGCTTTCCTTAAGCTTAGTTATCCTCTAAGGATCAAAACTCATGCTTAAAATCAACAAACAATCAAGAAATTAGAGAACTCACCTTTGCTTTGAGTTTTTCACGTGGAGAAGAGAAAATGAAGAAGAAAAGAGAGAAGAGATTTCTGGAAAATCTCCATCCTTATCCATATATATATAACATTATTTAATTCATCTCTTGGTCAAATGACCCTTTTGCCCTTTAATACCTTTTATAATTACTAACATCTTTTAGAATTTATTTCCAGATAAATCATTGAACTAACCCATTCTTCTACTTTAATCACCAAATTCTGAAACTTTACAATTAAGTCACTAACTCATAGTTTGGGATGTTACAAACATGCTGACATGTATATTATAAAATTTAATCTTAGAATCTCAAACAATTATCATATCTCAGTCAACAGGTTAACGTCCAGCTCAAACTGCCATCAAATTTTTAACGAAAAAGGATGAGTTTGGTACACAATGAATAGTTGGGTGACCATTTGGTAACGATAATAACCGGGGACTAAAAAATAATGTTCTATAGTCAATGGATCATTTTGTAACTTTTAATAATCGAGATTCAATAAAGTAACACTCTATAGTCAATGTACTATTTGTATGATTTACCCTAAAAATAAACATCACCGTCGACTTTAAAAACTAGTTATCCTAGTAAACTGGGTTGGGAGGATCATCCTTGACTCTGCAATAACCGATATAGATTAGTCGATCAATCGAATACATGTGTTTATAAAAAAAAAGAGTTATCCTATTGGGATTGGGCTTTGGTTAAAAAATATGTAAAATTTCATGGCTCAAATATTATTTTCAAAGAAAAATCTTGGCCCAAGGATATAAACAGAAATGCATAGAGATAATGAATAAATATCGACTAAAGATTATAAATCCTCACTTCTCCCAACTCCGATGAGAGATATCCATTGCCGATCATCGTTATAATTACTTTTTCCTTTGCCCCGTCGGTCTACTGAAACTGAAGGACGTAATTCCTATACTTGCGATTTGATATCCATAAGAAAATCAGAAAAAAACCTAAAGATTTTGCGAAAATTGGCAAAAGGAGAAGTTTGAAGAGGAAGAGAAGATGAAGACGACAAAGGGAGGCAAAGTAATGAACCCTACGGACGCCTACCGTAAGGTGCTCCGTAAGAAAGAACTGAAACGGGTAAAAATTTCGTGCTCCGCTCCGGTTATTTTTAGGGTTTCTTATTTCCTTTTTATTTTGTTACTTCAATGATTCTTAGTTCTTCATTGTTTCTTTTTAAAAAAGCAAATTCGCTTCTCGTTTTGCCCTAATTTCTTGTTTGGATAATAAGAAATTCAAAACGATTTCACCTAATTTGAATAACTTTTTTTGACCTAAATAAATGAATTTACGAATATCAGTGTTGAATTCTAGGGAATTTGTTGGCTTCAATGTAAATATAAGTAATTGTTTCAGCTTACAATTCTTGTTTATTTTAATGTTTTTATAGTTTTTATTGTGTTTATTCTAACAGAACAAGAAGGAAAGGAAGAAGGTGAGAGAGGTAGGGATTCTGAAGAAGGATCCGCATGCAATCAAGGAACAGATTGACAAGTTAGAAATGATGAGTAAGTGTTCTATTATTAATGATGTTTCATGATTGCTGATTTAGTATCTGTTTAGATGCAAATAAGCACTTAACTGAAATGAGCAGAGCTCATTGGTGATTGTTTTGCTTTGCAATTAGAAAATTTTATTTGGAATGTACTCTACCTATTTTTCCCCTTTGGTCAGGAAATTTTAGGACTAATGCAGAGGACTAAACAAACCTTAATTGCTAGCCTGATTTTGTACTCTGTTTTCGACTTCCTTTCGATGAGGTTTCTGTAAGTATCTTTTTGGTATTTAGTTATTATTGTATCGGATGCAGCATACTGATGAAAAACAATTTTTCCCCTTTTCCTAGATCGCAATCTCAATGAAAATATGTTTTTCTTTTACATTACGATATTGATGTAACAACTACCTATGGAAGTTTTCTTTTCCCGTTTCTTTTTTCCTTCCTTCCATTCTTTTTATTTGAAGAAAGGTTTGAATTGGGTATTGTTAGTGGTTTGAAAAATGTATTCCTGTACCTAGCCTTTTGTTTCCGTAGTTCACCTTGTTCTTACTAGTATATTTGGTCGTTTCTTTAGTAAATTTTAATTTTTTATTTGCAGCCTGTCGGACTGCCATTTATAGTCAATAACTTTGTTGAGTTATATTACAGAGGCTGAAGGTGCTTTAGACAAAGCAAGAAAACACAAGAAGAGACAACTTGAAGACACACTTAACCTTGTCTTAAAGAAGAGAAAGGTAATGATTTAAATTATTAAGGATTTTGAACTTTTTTTGAAGAAATAATTACTTGCTTATGGTTTTTCTGCCATTTATTAGAATTAGTTGTTTGCATGAGATAACTACACTATTCATTACTCCCTTGCACAGGAATATGAAGATAAAATGAAGGAGAAGGGTGAGACCCCCGTTATGTTCAGGTAAATAGACAATTCTCTTTATGATATGTTCCTTTATGCTTCTGTCTTAGCATATTCAAAAGTTCTCAATTACCAATTTATCGCTGCTACAGTCACTTGGGACCTCCTCCTCGGAGGACAACTGCTGAAGAAGATGAGAGAGCGAAGCATCCTAAACCTGAAGTAAGATCTGAATCAGACGGTTAACTTCCACTATTATATTTTGATGCCTGCCTTCTTGGAGTGTAATTTGTACTATTATTTTTTTCTCCTTATCTGCAGGACTCTGTTTATTATCATCCTACTCTGAATCCCACAGGAGCTCCACCACCTGGAAAGCCACCTATGTATAAATCATCAATAGGTATAGTAACTTCCTCTTCGATTTGTTTTTTTTTTCTGTAGCACAGTTCCCTTTCCTGAGCTTCTGGCTTAAATAATTATGCTAGTTTTACACTCTCTGTCTCTCTAACTAACTCATGTTTTTATTCTGTTTTTGTTTTGGCTTTCAGGACCTAGAATTCCCTTGTCTGGTGCTTCATCTTCACAGACGTCAGAGGATACTTCTGCAGCTATTCCACCTCCACCTCCTTTGTCAGATACAAGTGAATCAAACTCAGGGGACGTCTCTGTTGCACCTGCTTCTTTGCCTCTACCACCGCCACCTCCAATGCCACCCAAGCCTGCCACGGGAAACTTGGGTATTCCTTTGCCTCCTCCACCTGGTCCACCACCACCTCCTGGTTCCCCACCTAAAGAGCAAGTTACAGTTCGCCCTCCACTACCTCCACCTCCTCCCCTTCCACAGTCTATGCTGCCACCTCCCCCGGGCACTGGTGGACATGAAGGGGAGAAAATATCTGTACCATCAGATGACTCAACCTTCAAGGAACCGTCTCAGGTAAGCTTCTTCTCCATGCTCTCTGGATATGCTGTCTTCCTTGAAAATGTATCAATAGGTGTAGCTTATTTTGAGTTATCGGAGTTGGGAACTCCAAAGTTCTTTATTCCAGAAAGATCGTACCTTTGTCCAAATGCAGGTTAGTTGCTTCAAAGTGTTAATTGCTCGTTCTTTGTTTGTCCTTAGGTGCCTCCTCCTGGAATGCCCCCTAAACTGGCAAACAACCAGTCTGAAGATGCTCCATCAGAATCTGATGCGAATCACCATCCAATGATGAAAGAGGTTCCTAAATTGGTTCTGCCACCCCCACCTCCACCCAGGCAACCACCTCCGGTGCCTGGACCTGCCATGGTCCCAGTTCTACAGCCTGATGTATTACCACCTGGAATATCACAATTCCCTCCGGTAGCACCTCCCGACATGCGGGCATCATTATCTGCTAGTGGAATTCCTGGTCAAGCTCCTCCTGGAATAATGGTCCCGTTGATGCACAGACCACCTTTGGGCCCTCCACCAGGACCTCCACCAATGATGAGACCACCACTTCCGCCTGGTCCTCCCCCTACTGCAATGGATGGTTATAATTCTGCATATCGACCACCCTTACCACAGAAACCATCATACGTTAAATCTGCCGCCCCTACCGTTATTAAACGGCCACTGGCTCAGCACCAGCCAGAACTTACTGCTATGGTAAGTATACTTCCTGTTGTAGTTTTATGGTGCTTTAATATTTATATATGGACATGATATATTGCCATAACTCTAGAAAATGACTGCCTGGGTATGTGTTGGTTTTAGGTCCCTGCATCGGTTCGAGTAAGGAGGGAGACTGCTGCCTCAAAATCAAAACCAAAACCTTCAATCCCAACCGTGACAACAACGGCAGCCAAGCCTGTAGCTCCTACCATTGTGAAGCAAGAATCCACCAGCTCATCTTCGACTGCAAAGGCACCAAGTATTGACGACTCGTACTCTGCTTTTTTGGAAGATATGAAAGCACTCGGTGCACTCGATAGCTGATACTTGCTATAACTGTTGAGATGTTAAGGAAAAATCTTCGGCACAATTAGAATGAAGCATGTACAAACCATATTCGGGTGCCGGCATTACCGTGTTGCTGTGTTGTCAAGGGACACACTTCATTCTGTGTCGTGTCGCAGTTTTATCTTATGTTAGATTTTCAGTTCGTTGTTCACGAGATTGTATGATTCATGGCAAATTCTCTCTCAAGTGAAGGTTAAAATATATAGGCTAAACTTGCAATTTTTGTGTAGTTTTTACTTTTGTTTATCCCTTTGGGGCACATACTGATTGAAACTAATCATGTGTCAACTTACTATAATTTGATAGAACAGTTCAGGAGACCCTCGTCTTATTTTCTTTCTCGTCTGCTCTCGGGTTGGAGATCTGATTTGATTCGATATATCGGGTTAATGCGATTTTCGGATAGCGAAATTCCTAGATAAAATATAAATAACACCCCTTGCATGATCAAGCTGGCTAAATGAAAGCTGCTTATTTAAACACTAAAAATTCCAATCTGATGCTCACATACCATTGGTTTAACAGCCCCATAGAATCGCTTCTAACAGTCACTGCATGAATCTACTACATCATCGGTTCACTAAGGTTTCTCTGATGCATTGTTTTCAAGGTATTGAACATTATCTTCCATGATCCTCAATTTGCTTGGAACTCATTTCTCAAGAGCATGCATCAAGCTCCAAAGACATTTCTCGGCGTTATCCAACGGAAATTTTGGCATCAGGCTCTCGGCGACATCCGCCAGAGTAATACCGACCTCTTCCATCAGCCTGTCAATAGTATCGAATAACGGATGAGTTTTCAGTTTCAGATAATTCTTAGCAAGCACTTTGAATCCCTCGAAACTACAGTAAGAAAGCTCAATGTGTTTACCATCATGCCCCTTCTTATCAATGTTGGATCAAGTTTCTCGACGTAATTCGTGGTGAAAATGATCAACCTCTCGCCGCCGCAATCCAACCAAAGCTTGTCGATGAAATTCAATAGCCCCGAAAGGGTCACTCTGCTCCTACCACCGCCGCCGCCATCGCCATTGTTGCTTTCTTCCTTGCTTCTCTCCCCTCTTTCTCCATCTTCTCTTTATCTTCATCCGCCACAGCTTTCCCTCCTTTTTTTCTTCCTTTGGCCTGTGAGATCAAGCGAACAGTTTATATCTTCAATCACTATAATCGACGTACCCGTCGTCTCAATCAAAAGCTTCCTCAACTCAGTATTATCTTTAACAGCAGTGAGTTCAAGATCATAAACATCATAGTTCAACAAATTCACCATTACTGCAATCATAGTCGATTTCCCCGTTCCCGGTGTGTCATACAAAAGATACCTCTTTTCCAAGCTTTCCCTATCCTAGAATAAAACGTCACCAGATCTTCGATGACCTCTTTCCTCTTGCTTGGTTCCAACGCCATTGTCTCGAACGTTGCCGGGTGATCGAACACGATGTGGATCCACATGTCTGCTTGTAACCCGGGCGGTTACGTCAATTGTTTCTTTAAGATTATATAATAAAGATGTAATCATGAAGGAAATTTTAGCTTGGATCCATTTTTTTTGGAACTTATGGATACAAAGGAAAAGAAGAACCTTTGACCCGGGGAATATAGAGAGGGAGCTGATACTAGAATAAAGTAGGACGATGGTAGTTGAAGCATGCATAGCTAACACAATCACAGAGGATATTCAAGCTAAGGCAGGTCGGATAACATGGCAGGAAGCTAGGTGGTCGCCCCTACCACCGGGATGGCTGAAGCTGAAAACGGACGGCGCAAGGGACGATTCAAACGGTATGGCAGCCTGTGGAGGAGTGGTACGAGATGAAAAGGGCCGATGGAAGCTGGGTTTCCAAAAACAATCGGAGTGGAATTGTGGGGAGTGCAAGGACTTAAAGGCGCATGGGATCATGGTGCGAGAAGAATAATAGTCGGACAATAAGGTAGTTTGGAAGAATATTGTTAGAAGTCAATGTAAATCCTAAAGAAATATGTGTCATTTAGTGTATATATATTAAGAATACTTTAGATGTCACCCCCAAAAACCGGGGTTAATAAGGCTAGATGCCCTTATTTGTTATGTGTTTTGAAGATACTTGTTGCAGATCTTAGAAATTTATGTGCAATTTTATAAACCCTAAAAGCATTGGTGACTTTTTGGGTGATTAACCCATAGATGAATTTGAAATTCAATTTCCACGGAACTCTAAAAGCAGCGCCTATTATCTTTTTCTATTTGTTGATTCTTATTACTAATCTTATACGTTTAAATTCATTTATTTATTTTTATAATATATTATAATACCCAACATGAAAAACCTATTTTTTTTTATTTTATTTTGCACGCCACTTTGGTTCTTCAAAACCCTCGCCTCGATTTCATTCGAAAATATATCACGCCACTTTGTATCTATAATTAATTAAATATCGATCGTTATCATGAGTTGTATCTGAATCTATGTGTGTCTTTATTTATGTTATTGTGATTTGTGTTCTGAATTACTTAATTTATTGATTAGTTATCAAACATGTTTTTGAATTACGTGTGAGATGTCCTAACCGTATATTTCTGAATTATCTATGAGATTTTCAAATTGCATGCTTCTAAAACAATTGTGAGATGTTTGAACAATATGTTTTCTGAACTATGATTGTCTGAACGATGTGTTTTCTTAACTGTGATTGTTAGTATTTGTGCGTAATTTTGAAACCACTTCGATTTCTGGATTGCATGGCTTGCGGAATCTGTATAAAAATTTCACATTTGACCGGTTTCATGTAGGGCTGTAAATGAGACAGACAGATCGTGAGATACTCGAGATCGACTCGATCAAAGCTCGATAAATACTTGGATCGAATGGACTCGAGCTCGACTCGAATTCTTAACGAGCCGACACGAGCTACTTGATACTCGACTCGAAAAGCTCGTGAGCAGCTCGAAAATATAATATATAAGATTATATTTTTTAAAAAATTATTAAAATTATTAATATTTATGTATTGATTTTTTTTAAAGAGAATACATTAAGATTTTCATGCATTTAATGTTCAGGCTCGAGTTCGAGTTTGAGGCTTCAATCGAGTTAAGTTTAAGAATTTTTTTTCTTCATTTCAAGCCTTTTCGAGCTGCTCACGAGCTTCAGTTCAGGATTTCGAGTTCGAGTCGAACTTGAAAATTTTAAGCTCGCGAGTTTTCGAGTCGAGCTCAATTTCAGAGTTTTCGAGTCGAGTTGAGCTCAGCAATACTCGAGCATTATATCCATTATATGGTTTCCACAAATTGTTTTTCTGAATTTTAACGGACACTACTCATGTTTATGTGATTTGTCACATCACACTAACTCTGTTTGCATTCTGGTATGTCTTTCTGGAATTGTTGTGTATGATTTGTACTACTTTTTAAATACTTTATTTATCCGTACATTTTGACCGCACTGAGCTCTATAGTTCATCATCTTTATTTTTTTTTCCTTTCAGATATTTCAAGACATTAGCATCAGATCGACATCTCGTGGATCGGATTCTCATATTTAAGTTACTTTTTGCTAAATTATTTTCTAATAAAGTGATAGTAACTATATAAATCATTTGAAAATCTGATTTTTTATTTCTTAAATTTTCTAAAATGATTTTTGGATAAATTCGATGATTGATGTGACCTTTTTGAGATTCGATCGTAATGTTTAGTTCGGGTCTAGGGGTTACACTAGAATAATATAGAAATAATACATGTGTAGAAGTATTAATAAAAAAGTTTAGATATTTGTAATATTTAATATTATATCTAGAATTATCTATTAGAAGAATTTAGATACTTATAAAGTTAAATAACTAAGATTTTGATATGCATCAATAATATAATGGCCACTATGATATATAAAAAAGGGTGAGTTTTATCATTTTCAAAAGAGCGAAAAATTGAAAAAATAGTGCCAAAAGTGTGAGTGAAAGAATCTTCGAGGTAGAGAGGAGAAAAGTAACGGAAAAACAGTGTAACATTGAAAATTTATTATTGTATTGGCATAATTCCAAAAATAGCTCTCAACGTTTATCAAAATAGTCATTTTAGCTTCTATTCTATTTTTTGAAGCATTTTGACTCCCAACGTTTTACTTTGGGACAAAACACTCCCTCTATAGATGAATACTATCAGTTAACACACGATTAACGCTCCAAAATGGGAGCATTTTTAACCTAAAATGAAACATCGAGGGTTAAAATGTCTCATAAAAAAAGAAGAGAAAATAACCTCAGTGACCAAAAATCTCAGATAATATACGATTTTGACCAACTTTTTTTGGATTTGCGAAAATGACCAACAAAATCGCAATGCGATCTCTAATTCGCATTGCGATCTCCAGTATAGCAAATTCGCGTTGCGATTTTTCATTTCGCTTTGCGATAGTCCAAGTTGTCGTTGCGATTTTCCATTTCGCGTTGCGATAGTCTACAGTTGTCGTTGCGATTTTCCAAATTCGTTGCGATAGTCTACAGTTGTCATTGCGAATTTTCCAAATTCGCAACTCGAATTTCTCAACCTTAATTACCTATATAGGTAATTAGCGTTGCGAAAACAAAATTCGCGTTGCGATTTTCCAAATTCGCGTTGCGATTTTCCAAATTCGCGTTGCGAAAGTCAAATTCGCAACTCGAATTTCTCAACCTTAATTACCTATATAGGTAATTAGCGTTGCGAAAATGAAATTCGCGTTGCGATTTTCCAAATTCGCAACGCGAAAGTCAAATTCGCAACGCGAATTCTCCAAATTCGCAACTCGAATTTCTCAACCTTAATTACCTATATAGGTAATTAGCGTTGTGAAAACGAAATTCGCAACACGAATTTCACAACGCTAATTACCTATATAGGTAATTAGTGTTGCGAAAACGAAATTAGCAGCTCGAATTTCTCAACCTTAATTACCTATATATGTAATTAGCGTTGCGAAAACGAAATTCGTGTTGCGATTTTCCAAATTCGCAACGTGAATTCTCCAAATTCGCAACGCGAACTCCAATTTCGCAACCCAGTTTCCAATTTCGCTACGCGGAATTTCAAATTCGCAACGTGAAGAGTCAAATTCGCAACGCGAAAGTCAAATTCGCAACTCGAATTTCGTAACTCGAATTTCGCAAAGCGAAAACAAAATTCGCAACTCGAATTTCGTTTTCGCAACGCTAATTACCTATATATGTAATTATGGTTGAGAAATTCGCGTTGCGAATTTGACTTTCGCAACGCGAATTTTTTGGAAAATCGCAATGTGAATTTCGTTTTCGCAACGCTAATTACCTATATAGGTAATTAAGGTTGAGAAATTCGAGTTGCGAATTTGGAAAATTCGCAATGACAACTGTAGACTATCGCAACGAATTTGGAAAATCGCAACGACAACTTGGACTATCGCAACGCGAAATGAAAAATCGCAACGCGAAATGGAAAATCGCAACGTGAAATGGAAAATCGCAACGCGATTTTCAACAATCGCAACACGAAATGGAAAATCGCAATGCGATTTTCAACTATCGCAACGCGAAATGCAACGCGAATTTGCCATACTGGAGATCGCAATGCGAATTAGAGATCGCATTGCGATTTTGTTGGTCATTTTCGCAAATCCAAAAAAAGTTGGTCAAAATCGTATATTATCTAGGATTTTTGGTCACTGGGGTTATTTTCTCAAAAAAGAATAAGGGACGAAGTGATTATTCTATCAAATGTTAGGTGCCTTTTTGCTATAAAATAAAATGTTGAGGGTCAAAATACACCAAAAATAGAATAAGGGGTAAAATGAATATTTTAATAAATGATAGGGGTTAATTTTAACATTATACATTTTTTTATTAATAAAAGTGTTCTCTTCTAAGTTTCCCGAGTAAGCCTAGATTGTTTTAAGTTCTAATACCCCTATCAGCGAGTTGATTCTTTCAGTTAGCCAAAAAAAAAATTCCGAACTTCTAATATTAGGAGTAAGATTTTCCCACCTGATGTGTTTGCAATAGAGCTTCTTCGTCCACTTTATTAGTCGTTTCAGCAAGTTGTTCTCTAGGTGGATAGCATGTCCAAATGAGAGTCTTTTCTAATAGAATTTTCAACAATTAGACTTAAGATAACGATTGATGAAGCCATCAAGATGGATGAAGAAAATTGTCACGATGAGAGAAGAAAGGGATAGATTGAATGAATTAGGGTTCAAAGATAATTGGGGGAAATTCAAATGGGGGGGCTTATGGTGAACGAAGACAGTGACGTTAAATAGAGAATAACATTTGTTCTTTGGATATATGTACGAGTACATTGCCCAGATGTTTTCATTGATATTGGACAAGAATCATTGATTATAGATTTTTCTCTTCAAATTGATCACTAAAAACATTTAATTTTATAATTCGATAAAATCCTAATTCCGAACCTCTCGTACGAATGTGTCCAAATATATCACAAGTCCCATACATGGATTTGAACTCCATATGAGTCTTCTTTTAACAGATTGTCGAAAACTTCGATGAATCCAACTCACCCACTATAGAAGACATGTGATACATCACTAATACTACACCAACCCTTTGATGTTGGTTAAATGGTTAGTCTTTTTATTTTATAAATTCTTAGTGCACAATAATAGTTAGGTGGCATGGCCAATCATATATCATTCAGGTGATAGAACCGACCATATATTAATCAGGCAATATAATCGACCAAATATCAATCAGGCGGCAAAATCGATAAATGAACAAGGTAAGAATAAAATAGTAGATGCACTACCTCGAAGGTACACCCTTACCTCTCAAAAGCATGCTATTATTCTGAGACTTGAATATCTTAACGATTTATGTCACGATGATTCAAATATTTCTTATATATATACCCACAAAACTTCTCACAAGAATTCTTAGTTCATGAAAAACACTTAAGATACTTAATGGATTACTTTAACAATTCATATGACATGATTTTTAAACACTTCTTTTAGTCACACACTAGTAAAACCTTGAAGCAATTACAATCAAAACCAACAGTGGCCGACACCATATTGAATTTCAACCTACTCATCGGATTATAAGCCTTGTATGCAAAAGAAAATTTCAAGACAATTAAAAATCAGCCCCAATAAAGAAGAAACCTTTACTAAAGCGCATAAATACACATCACATTGATATAGGTAAGCGTTTCACAAGCTTTCCTTTCGACACATATGATTCTATTTCTTTTGAATTTTCAGACTCGATGATTAATCCTTTTGAGGAGAGGGGGAATCATACATACTCCATAATTCATGATGATGAGAATGCATGCTTCTTTGGACTAATGTTTCTACTTGAACCTATTAGAAGAACAAAGTCTCGAAGATTTAAAGCATATATATTCCGTAAGTATAATGTGAGTGAATCATTGAAGGTTTTTATGTTTCTCCCTTTAATGTTTAAGATTCAAGGTATAATCTTTTTGAAGAGAAGGGGATGACACATGCACGACAAGCCTCACATCAAAGGAAGATTGACTAATTCTTCCAACTGATCTACACGTCTAAGCCTTGGAAAATAATACCATAACAATTGCAGACTTGCGACGACTTTTTTAATAGGATCCAAGTGTTATTTGGTTGATATGTCTAATGAAGATACGAACGTCTACCTCTTACGTTTCTAACGGTACTTGAATTGCATCAATCCGATGTCGGGAACTCAAGATACGTCCATTTTAATGAAGACAATGCATGCAAATTTGTAAATATTACGAATTTTTAATATTTTTATTGATTATTTGTATTATAATTTAATATATGATGATGCATAGTTATCTTTTAGGAGTATATTTATTATTTTATTAGGAAATAGAATCAAAACATGTTTAGTTTATTATTATTTTATTCCTTAGTTACTTAGGATTTTGGAACTAGGCTCCATTCACCATTATAAAATCAGTTTTCTTTGATTAATAATACAACGTGAGTACGTTTTTGCAAGTGTTGATTACCTTATACCTTCGAAGCATTTTTTATCATAAAGTTCCTTAAGTTCTTCATGAGAATGATCTTCACACTCTGGTTTGCATTCTCATTATGATTAGGAGGACTTGTTAGAGTCGATTATCGAATTTTACTAATCAATTGCAATTAGAAGGATTCGTAGCACATTTATCCATCATTCTTTTCATCACCATCAACATCCCATGACAACTGTGTCCCCGTAGCCATCTTCACGCCAAACTTATAAATACTAGGGGAATTTTCAGTTCGAATTATTTCATATCTTTATTTATCTCTTCGTTATTGCATTATCTTCCTAATCATCAACTTCTTGTTTGATTTCCAGCAACTTCCCTGTTTCAAAAATCCCAGTTTGCAATAAAATTTTTAATTCTATCTAATCTCTTTCTTTGACCGAGGTTAGTTCTAGAGACTTGATTTTCAACTAAGAGCAGCCTTCGTTACTCCGTTGTCATCTCCTGTCATATACATATATAGTAGTGGGTTAATCAAACACCCTAGGATAAATTCAGTATGATTTTTTTTGTATCTTTGGAAATTTTTTTATTCTTAGACAAATTATATAAAAAAAAAAGTTAGGAACACCCCTTGCATGATCAAGCTGGCTAAATGAAAGCTGCTTATTTAAACACTAAAAATTCCAATCTGATGCTCACATACCATTGGTTTAACAGCCCCATAGAATCGCTTCTAACAATCAGTGCATGAATCAGGGTTTCTCTGATACATTGTTTTCATGGTGTTTAACATCATCTTCCATGGCAGGAGTACCATGATCCTTAATTTGCTTGGAACTCGTTTCTTCCTGCTCCGCAACCTTCTTGGCAGCTTCTTCCTTGGATTCCTCAAGAGCATGAATCAAGCTCCAAAGACATTTCTCTGCATTATCCAACGGAGATTTCGGCATCAGGCTCTCAGCGACATCTGCCGGAGTGATATCGACTTCCTTCATCAACCCGTCAATGGTATCGAACAACGGATGAGTTTCCAATTGCAGATAATTCTTAGCAAGCACTTTGAATCCCTCGAAACTACAGTAAGAAAGCTCGATGTGTTTGTCCATCCTTCCCCTCCTTATCAATGCCGGATCAAGTTTCTCGACGTAATTCGTGGTGAAAACGATCAGCCTCTCGCCACCGCAAGCCGACCAAAGCCCGTCGATGAAATTCAATAGCCCCGAAAGTGTCACTCTGCTACTACCGCCGCCGCCGCCGCCATTGTTGCTCTCTTCCTTCGCTTCTCTCCTCTCTTTCTCCATCTTCTCTTTATCTTCATCCGCCACAGCTTTCCCGCCTTTTTTCTTCCTTTGACCTGTGAGATCAAGCGAACAGTCTATATCTTCAATCACTATAATCGACTTACTCGTCGTCTCGATCAAAAGCTTCCTCAACTCAGTATTATCTTTAACAGCAGTGAGTTCAAGATCATAAACATCATAGTTCAACAAATTCGCCATTGCAGCGATCATGGTCGATTTCCCCGTCCCCGGTGGACCGTACAGAAGATACCCTCTTTTCCATACTTTCCCGATCCTAGAATAAAACTCTCTGCTCTGACTAAACGTCACCAGATCTTCGATGATATCCTTCTTATTGCTCGGTTCCAACGCCATTGTCTCGAACCTAGCCGGGTGCTCGAACACGATGTGGCTCCACATCGTCTGCTTGTAGCTCGGCCATTTATAACAGGGGCTGTTGGTGTATAGCTTCCTCTGCCGGTTCCGAACCCTGATCTCTTTCCCTTCTTTAACCACATGCTCCAAATAAGCTCCGGTGATCATTTCCCGGTAACGTTTATGAAACGTCAGCCGGTAATACCTTTTCTCCTGCTCTTGATAATATCCCATGGGCCGGCTCGGCGACACCGTTTTGCTCGCCACCCACCATATTTTAGCACCGCGGAACTCGTCGGTCACCTTCTCGTACTCATCCATGCTTAGGACCAGATTTGTGCTGTCTTTCCCCATCTCGGCCTTCAACCTTTTGGCCGTCTTCGAAGAGTTGGCGCTGAGATACGCCTCCACGGCGACGTAGGCCTCGCTGCGTTTGAGCCGATCGCCGGTGAATTCGTGTACGGAGATCTTGATGTAAGGGGAGAAATAGCCCATGATTGTGTGCGTGTATTTCTCGAAGTAACGGCGTAGCTCGTAAGGGCAGTATTGGCGAAATACTGCCCATATGAACATGAAGCTGGCTAAGGTTGAACCCATTTTCGTCCACATGTCCGCCATTGTTGATGGCACCATCTCCATTAGTTTTTCCTCCTTTTTGGCTTAGTTTTTCCTCCTTTTTGGCTCTGTGTTTACTGCAGAATACTTCTTTTTTGATTTGATAAATATCGTCTTTTTCTTCTGTCACTAGCCTTTCTGCAAATGCTCGTGTGTCTTAAGGTTTTTGAAAGGACTCTGTATAAATAAAGGCTAAATTATGAGTTTAGTACCTAATATATCAGTTTAGATCCATATTAGTATCTAAACTATTTTTTTTTCAAAATCATACCTAAAAGTTTATTTTTATTTCGTTTTAGTGTCTCATTCAAAATTTTAACGTTAAGTTCAAAAATTGAAAGTTTAGGTACTAACACGGACCAAAACTGATAGTTTAGGTACTAAATGCGTTGAGTTTTTCACGGCGGGGTACTAAACTGAAATGAAAACTAAATATTATATATGATTTTTAAAAAATTGAAAGTTTAGTTACTAAGATGGATAAAAATTGATAGTTTAGGTATTAAATGTGTAATCTACCCACAAATAAATGGGTAAAGTACATGATAAGTAATTCAACTATGATCAAATGATTAATTTGATCTCTAAACTTTTAAAAATTATTAAATAATATTATATTTATCAAACTATTATAAAATTATCATTAAATTTTGTCAAGCTTTTATAAGATATCTACTAAATTTATCATTTTTTTGCATTATTATAGCATTGTATTCATCATTTTATTATAATATGTCAATTTAATGTTCACTTTATAAATTTTAAAAGTTTTGTGATCAAAATAATTACAAAGATGTTGAGCTATTTTTGTCGGACATCCACGAATTATGATTCAGATTCTTAAATGATCTCTAAATTTTAAAAATATTCTTATTGAATCCTTAAAATACCATTATCATGTCAATCAAGCTTTTTCTTCAGTCTAACCGTTAGTTTGAGCATTAGATGTTCGCTTAAATTTAACTTATAATGAGTTTAAGAATATGTGAATTGAGCACGAATCAAGCGACTTCGATGATAAATAGATTATTTTTATTCCTTAAGGTTCTAGGTTCAAAGGTTCGAGCACTATGACTATTATGGGTATGAACGTTTAATGTCAAATGATCAGGGTTATTTAATGGAATTAACCCTAATCGAGTATGATAAAATAAAAGTGAAACTACATAAGGTTAGTGGGGAATGCTGATTGTGATTAAAAAGCCAAAAACTCTAGGCTTAGCTGACTAATCCATATCACAAAGTGGCCTATGAAAATGCAGGTGTCAAGCTTTTGAACAATCAATATTACCCAATTTGGGGCACTAGGGATTTTGACTTTTGTCCTAACCAAAATTGACAAATTTTGGAAACATAATTATGTGGTCATTGAATAATATAAACTCTTTTGTCTTTTGGGTCTTATTAGTCTATGGAACTATTCTTTATAATTGTGTGATTTTATTGTAATAATTGATATATTAAGTGATTTTATTGTTAGGTTTAAGGGTTATTTTTATCCTTGTAGTATATTTAATTTATTATTTTTACCTCTATCGTATTTTTATATCAATTTAACTCTCAAAGTTGTTTAATTGTATTATTTTATACTTTATCCTAACTTTAAACCCTAAATTATAAATTCTGAGTTAGAGTTTAGATGTTATAAGATTATAGTTTATGATTTAGGGTTTATAATTTAGGGATAAGGTATAAAATGATGCAATTAGCAATTTTGAAGGTTAAAATGATGCGAAAATACGATAGAGACGAAAGTGATAAATTAGGTATAAAATACTTTATCCTTATTGAAATAATTGATAAATATAATAGTTTAATTATAATTAGACGTTTAGTATTTATTTCTTCATATATAAAATAATTTACTTGTAACAATTAATTAATTAATTGAGTAATATGTCTATAACAAAACAATATTTCTGATCCAATTTATTTCATTTATAATATCATAATGTAACCATTACCGGAAAATTCCAGTGGTGCATACTATTAAATTAATTTATAATTAATGTGTAATTTAATTTTTTTAATCAAATATGCCACTCATTAAAAACATAATAAAATTAAACAAATTTATAAAATTAAATAAATATTTTATATAACGCTTTTATAAGAAAAATGCCTTTGAAGGCCATTGTGCACGTTTAAAATATGATCACGGGTTCAAAACAAAATATCACATATTGGTACGTATTACAATTTAAGACTCTGCACATGTTTTGTACGTTTGTAATTATATTTTATTGTTTGTTTGGACCGGTTTTAAAAAATTATATTCTTGTCGATATTTTAAAATTTGAATTGATTAATCCAATTGGTTGAATTATTAATTTAATAACAATTAAACAACAAAATTTAAAAAATATCCCAGTCGACTGAACTATTAAATAATTTAATTTTTTTAATAATTTGAATGATTATAATGTAATATCTTAAATAAATACAATGTACTATATGTTGAAAGACTCATAATTATTTGACGATGAACGTTCATCTCTTTATATATGCGGTACTCGAATACAAAACATTAAGGGGGTGTTTGGTTCAAAGATTGTGGGATTCGCATGGGATGAGAATCCCACATTCTCATATTTGGTTGGCCGGGAATCTCATTCCCGGTAATGTTTTATTACCAATAGTAGATTTTTTTGGGTATATTACCGGGAATGTCATTACCTCCCTTCCCTTAGGTATTGTAACATTACCGGTGTTTTGGACTAAAATGCCCTTAAATTTTTATTTTTTTTGAAAATATCATTCTTCTGTCATTGAATAATAAAAATTCTACGAAGGTTAAATTACAAATTTATCCTTAAATTATTTTAGATTTACAAAAAAAAAAGTCTATAATTAAAATTTTATATGAAGTTCAGGGGTTAAATTTTTTTTACCATTTCATTAAACATTTTTTATATTTTTTATTTTGTAAAAAAAAATTATATAAATATTATGAATTTATTTTTTTTAAGAAAATATATAAATATTTTACAAATTGTAATATTATACAAATATATAATAAAGACAATTTTGTCAAATATACATTCCAATAATCTTTTATTCCTTTAACCAAACACGGTAATCTTAAATTCCTACTAAACCAACCAAACACAAAATACAACATTCCCAGTAATCCTATTCCCTGGTAATCTTTTATTCCCACTGGTAATCTTACATTCCGTGAACCAAACGCACCCTAAGAAATAACATCAAATCTCTTAACACGAAGATTGTTTGGTTCGTACTTATTCTTTACATTTTTTATACATATTTTATTTGAATCGTATTATTTTAAATTTACTTTTTTATACGATAAATACACAATATTTTTAAGATTTGGTTGCATCATATGTCCTCAAAGTATGACCTATATTTTTAATTAATATTTTAACTTTTAAATGTTTCAATGTTATCATTAAACTACGACTATCTTCTAAACTAGTCTTTAAACTTTTAAATATTTCAATTTCATCCTCATACTACGACCTTCATTCTAAATTAGTCCCCAAATTTTCTTAACATTCCAATTTTATCCCAAACTATACGTATATACTAATCACATCCTTTGTTAATAAAATTGTTAGACTAAGTTATATTATTATATGTTTGGAAAAAAACACAATTTAGGTTAAACTATGGTTGAAACTAATTATATATTTGGATAAATTTGGGGATGAAATTGGAATATTCAAAAGGTTGGGGATCGATTTAGATATAGAGATGTAATTTATGGAAGAAATTGGATTTTTCAAAAGTTTAAGAACTAATTCAAAATGAGAGTCGTAGTTTAGAGATGAAATCAGAATACTCAAAAGTTTAAGGACTGATATAAAATGAAGGCTATAGTTTGAGGATACATTATGTAATTAACTATACTTTAAAGATTTTCCCCTATAGACCCATAAAATTATGCTTTTATTAAAAAGGTACCTTTTTCATTAAAAAGCCAAAACAGTGGCGTGGCCACTCGCTCGACTGTCTCATTATCCACCAAGAGACGAAGACAGACACAGATTAAAGACGGGCCCTTTTCGTGCATTGGGAACCCAGTTTTGATCATCTTTCCATATTATTACACGACAATGCTTGTCTGCTCATTTCATTAGACGTGTCGTCATGTCATTGGCCCCCTAGTACACGAAATGACCCTCATTTTCTTCGTGCTCTTTTCCTCGTGTTTGATTGCCTATGAATTTTGACGCCATTACACGTAGCAAACAATGCATGAACTTTTTATGAGTTTAATTTAAGGCTAAAATAATAATAAAAAAATGTAGTCGAAAATGTTATAAAAACATAATAATTTTAGTTCGGTAATCTTAAATATTAATTTTTTTAATTATTTCCTGTTATACATTTTTTTCATAATATTTTTTGTTCGATAAAAAATGTTAAACTTTCTATATTTTAATTTACGCTCAATCGAAAATGTTATATTCCCTTCGTTGCATTAAAACTATCCATTATTAAAAAAAATCAATCTGTTTCAAATTTAACTCTTTATTATTTAAAATTTAACTCTTTATTATTGATAAAAATATGAAAAAAATATTTAAAAAACCTTCAATCAAGTAGTTTTGAAATATACATATTCTATAAAATTTAATTGTTTAAAATATTCAAAATAATTATGGTCAAAGTTTAAAATTTTTAACTTTTAAAAAGTAAATAAGGGACAAATTTAGTGGGATAGAGGGAGTACTTTTTATAATATTTTCAATTGCGCTCATTTTCTACTGTTTTGTAACCTTAAATTAGGTTGTCGCACTTGTTTGTTAAAGAGCAATAGTGACATCGAAATGTTATTCTATCAAATATTAGGGACCTTTTTTATCTAAATGAAATGTTGGGGGTCAAAATACTCAAAAAAATAATATGGGATAAAATGACTATTTTTGTAAAAGTTGGGAGCTAATTTTGACATTATACCTAAACTTTTATGGTTTTTGATGCATCAGGATTCATACGAGCATCGCTGTTAATTTTTTAATGACTGATGATTAAAATAAAAATATATATAAGTATTAACGTTAGTGCCACTTTTGTTTAAAACTAAGTTTGATGACCAAAATAAGAAAGAAGAGATATATTGGTGATTAATGATGTAATTTATTCTTTAATCTAATAGACAA